CACTCCGAAGTCTTGAAGACATCTCATACTCAACATAACCAAAATGAAACTTACCCCCCATACACACACCTGTTTCCTTTACAACCCCACTCCCCTATTTCAGGAAATATTTCATCATCTACCTACCCAGTTGTTCTAGCCAGAAACCAGAGATCAACCATGATTACCCCTTCTCTTTCACCCACATATCCAACCCTTTGACAAGACCCATTCATATCACCTCCCAAACTTTAAGCCATTCTCTTAGCTGCGTTTCCATTATCCCTTCCCCAGGCTAGGCCAGCATAATCTCTTGCCTACTAAATGATTTCATTTCCAGTCTTCCCTCTTCAAATCAGTTGTCCACATATCAGCAAGCCTGACAGACATAAAATCAAATGTAACTCAGAACTTGTCATTTCTCTGCTTAAAATTCAATGACTTTTTAGAATCAAAGCCAAAATTATTTACTATGGGCTAGAAGATGCTACGTGTTCTCACCCCTCTCCTCTTGCTTTCCAGCCACAATGGCTTCTTTCATTTCTTCAAACAAGATCAAGTTCTTTCCTGCCTCAGGGCCTTTGCACACACAGTCCTCGGATCTTAATCTGGGATGCTCCCACCTTCCTGCCCTCCACTTTGACCTAGTCTGTTCCTTCTTGTTCTCTATACTCAGGTTAGATATCTCTTCAAAGATTTCTTCCCTAGCCACTTTATCTAAAGTAGATTCCTCCATTATTTTCTTTTTTTAAAGGTTTTTTTTGTTTTGTTTTTTAAAGATTTTTATTTATTTATTGAGAGAGAGAGAATGGTAGAGAGAGAGCATGAGAGGGAAGAAGGTCAGAGGGAGAAGCAGACTCCCTGCTGAGCAAGGAGCCCGATGTGGGACTCGATCCTGGGACTCCAGGATCATGACCTGAGCCGAAGGCAGTTGCTTAATCAACTGAGCCACTCAGGCACCCCCTCCATTATTTTCTATCTCAGATCTCAGTTTCCCTCAAAGCACTTACCACAATTTGTAATTTACTTGTTGCTTTTTTATGTTCCCTGCTCACATTAGAAATGTTAGGTCAAGGAGGGCAAGAGCTATATCTTGTTCACTATTATTATCTTCAGCACCCAGCACCATGCCTAGCACGTGGAAGACAATAAATGTACAGGTAATGTGTCTCCCTGGCACTTTAAACATAGTTCCTCATTTAAATTTCGCAGTAACTCCGCGAGGGAGAAAGCGTGCTCCTCATTGTGCAAAGAAGGAAACCGCGAGTCCAGTTTCTAAACTACCCAAGGTCAATGAGCTAGTAACTTAAGAAGTCGGGATGTCTGAAGGACCCCACAGTCTCAAACACCATACCGGAGTTTCTCAGTTTTGAGGAACCCTGTAGCGCAGCGAACTTTCCGCGTAACGTCGGGAAAAGGAAACTTCCACCGCGCGACTGCCAAGCTCCCGGTAGGCCCAGCGCGCGGGGGTGTGGCCAGGCGGGTGGGCGGTCCTAGGCGCCGGAAAACCGACCCGAGACTACATATCCCAATAGGCTGTGGAGGGCGCCGCAGGCTGGCGGAAGCGAGGTAGGTGGCAGCGTGATGACGTTATGAAAGACGCTGGCGCGCGGGATTTAAACTGCGGCGGTTTGCGCGGCGTTAGGACTTGATAGGGTTAGCGGAGCTGTGGTTTTTTTTGCAATTCGTGTTTCTCTTCCCGGCGACTTCCCATGGACTCGTCGCTTCAGGCCCGCCTGTTTCCCGGTCTCACCATCAAGATCCAACGCAGTAATGGTGAGGGGCGGGGTCGCGAGGTCAAGGGGACCCGTGGGCTGTGAGACGGCTGAAATTACTGCTCCCCACCCCCCCCAAACAGCAGGGTCGAGACACTGTTGGGGATTCCCCCGCCTCCACCTGGACTGCATGTCTGCACCGGCCGTCGGTCTTTTCTACCCAGGTCCAGGGGCCTCCACTGGCGGTGGGTCCCCTGCCTGTCCTCGGAAGTGGGCGGGGCTCTTCCAAGTCAGTGGATCTCCTAGGGAAGTTAGGGTTGCTAGATTCACTTCGCCTCCAGAGTTCTCCCCTGAAACTGCCTTGCTTTTGTAGGGACCTCGGCTTCCTGGCCCCTTTACTCTCCTCTAAATATTCCGCACTTGCAATATGTCAGGCACTGGGATTCAGGGTTAATCAGGCAGAAAAGATCCTTGCTCTACAGGAGCGTGCGAATCTGTTCTCTTTTTTTGGTTAAGCAGCTACCGCATCTCTGGCAGGTCTAATACCCTGTCATTAGGAGAATGGTCAGACATAATGTCAGGAGTGAGGTAGGGAAACCCGAGGGCACTAGAGCCTCAGTGCGTGTTGAGGAACAGTACCGAAGGACTAGAGTGACTCCTCTGCCCAGACATACCTTCAGCTCACTGTAAGCTCTCTTTTGATTGGGGGGTGAATCCTTATCCCCTGCAGCTCAGTTTTTGTTTTTTGTTTTTTTAGATTTTATTTATTTATTTGATAGAGAGAGACACAGCGAGAGAGGGAACACAAGCAGGGGGAGTGGGAGAGGGAGAAGCAGGCTTCCCACTGAGCAGGGAGCCTGATGCGGGGCTCGATCCCAGGAACCTGGGATTGTCACCTGAGCCGAGGGCGGATGCTTAATGACTGAGCCACCCAAGCGCCCTTGCAGCTCAGTTTTAAGACCAGTTCCCTGCCTACCTCATGGTGGGATATTCTAAGGGTGAGGTGCCAGGAGGTTTATTTGTCTTCTAGTGTTAAAAAGAAAGAAAAAGGCAGCTGTTGCTTCCTTCAAGTCAACTCCACATTAGAGTCTCTGTGGGATTCTAAAAGTGAAAAAGGTGGGTAAACTGGACTTTTCATACCATAGGCATAATCCACAGTGCCAATGTAAGGACTGTGAACTTGGAGAAATCCTGTGTTTCAGTGGAATGGATAGAAGGAGACGCCACAAAGGGCAAAGAGGTAAGTTCTGTGAGAATGCCTCTACCACATTTAACACCTTCCTCCCTAAGAGATCTGTGTGAAGGGGTGCCCGGCTGGCTCAGTCGGTAGAACAAGCAACTTGATCTCAGAGTCCTGAGTTCTAGCCCCATGTTGGGCAGAGAGATTACTTAAAAAAACAAACAAACAAACAAAAAGATCTGTGTGGAAATGGAACTTGTGAGAGCCTTGTTTCTGATGCTGCCTTGTCCTCCCTAATCTTAAACATGGTCCTCTTTGGATGCTTTAGGATTTTATTTAGTCAGGCCTGGTCTAAATTGAAGCAATCAACAGTTTCTGGTGTGTTTGTAGAAGACAACCTGCACAGAATCCTAAAACCTTGCTTATGTACCCTAGCTTCTGAGTGCAAACTACCTATGACATCAGTTTGGGGAGCAAAACTGATAACCCAGTTGAGGAGACAAAAGTATTTCTGAAACACCAAAGAACCAAAGGCAACTTATGATAAATGGCACAGATGAATACTGCTAGAGCAGCTCAGAGGTGGTAACTCACTGAGGATGAGCTTGACTGGTGGGGGTGGGATGGGAAGTCTTAGCAGAAACAGTGAGATGGCCCTTCTCGGGGCAAGTGAAGAAGCTTGCTCCAGGCAGTGGAAGGCTCAGGATGCTGGACAGTTGAAAAGGGGACAGAGGGTCTTCATTTCTGGCACTAACATGTTTAAGGTTTTATTCTATAGGCGCTGGGGAGCCTTGGAAAGATTTTGAGAAGAGAAGAGGTGTGACTAAAGCATTTATGTTTTAGAGGCATTGTGGTGTGGTAAAAATTTCACCGGGCTAGAAGTATAAAAACCTGGATTCTAGTCTGGCTCTGCCACTATTTTGTATTTTGAGGCACGTTTTCAACTTTCTTAGAAATTCAGCCTCCTCACCAAAAGGTGAGGATGATAATATCTACCTCATGAGGTTGTTGTGAGAATTTATTCAACAGATACTTTTGTACTGGTTTCAAAATGCCAGATGGCATCCTAAGGTGAATAAGACAGACCTGGAACTCCTTTCCTGGAGCATAATGCAATAACACAGGAAAAGGACTTGCCTAGCATAGTGCCTTCTGGTAGGTATGCAGATATTTAGGTGGTATATTTGAGAAATAAAAGGATTGAATACTTTACACTATCTGCCCTTGAGTCAAGAGGTTCCTAAAATTCTTTTTAACCAGCTATTAGTAGTTCCTTGTGGTTTTGTTTGTTAGCTTGTTTTTGTTGTTTAGAAATATAGCTCTTGTAGGGTCTCACTCCAGCTCAATACTGCCTTTGGAAAAAGGTCTGAACGTCTTAGTGAGGCATTCAAAGCCTTTTCAGGATCTGACCCCAGTCAACCTTTTTTTTGGTGCTATACACTCTTCTTCCAAAGTATGCTGGGCCAGGGGCAGATGGGTCCGGCCCCCACTCTGTGACCATGCCTAGTGCCTTGCTGCCTTCACACTGTCGCTCTTACTCCTCCTCCTGGGATGTTCACCCTGAATCATCCGTGTGAGAGTTACTTAATGTCAGAACTAGGGTTAGATCATTGGTCTCCTATGTTGTTTGTTTTCTGTGGTTTAAGTGTCAGAAACAGGAGTGTGTAGGAAGGGTCTGTAGCTGTCCAAGAAACGGGGACAAAAGTGTGGTTCCCGAAGTACTTGCCAGGTTTTGCATTTGGTGATACTATTCTTGTCCTGTTCTGCCTTGGTTTCTAGCCCTCTGTGCTTACAGCTTCGCCATTAGAATATGAGCTAACAGAAGGCAAGGGCAATATATGTCTTCATTCATCTTTGAATACTTTCCCCCCTACTGCCTTAATCGTACTTAATAAATGTTTGAATAAGCTAGTTAATAAATATAGGTTGCATATGTAGGAGGTAAAGCTTTCACCCTGGAGTACATGCTTCAGCTTGGAAACATTTTGAGATGCAGATAACCAAGTTGGTACTGTATTGTGAACTGCTGTGAACTGTGCTCATGAAGTTTGAGTTGTTCCTAGAGGGTTGCAGGACTCTGGTGATGTAAACCTAGAATTGTGACCTCATTAAGGCATAAGCAGGGAAGTAGGGAAGGCATGAACAGGAAGCCATGACTGGGGAAGAAGTTTCTGGGCCCAGTAGAAAATGTAGGTAGACTTAGGGTTATGTAGCAGCTCTCAGGAACTTGTCCCCGCCCATAAGATCCGGAAGGGCCGTCCATTTTGACTATCTCCAGGACAGTTAGAACTCGTTTCCTCCTCCGTGTCAGCCATCAAGAGGTGCTCAGGGGACTGTGCCCAGCAGGACACCCTGCCCAGCAGAACAGTAGGGGAGCCAAGTGGCCTAGATCTACTGTGGACTACCTGTTTGCCTGTCTGTCTGCCCTCCTCTTTACCTCGTTCTCATCACTGACATCTACCATTGGCTTGGCAATCAGGAACCAATATCCATCTAGATGGTAAACCATGACTAAGGACCATTTGTTCATAGTTATTAGTACTTGGTGGAACTTAAAGTTGGTAAATTCTGAATCTGGGGGTAGCCTTGGTTGCAGAGATGCAATTGGATTGAAGAAGCTATGTTGTTCCACTAAAACTTTTTACTTGCTCTTTGCAGATTGATTTTGATGATGTGGCCGCAATAAACCCAGAACTTTTACAACTTCTTCCCTTACACCCAAAGGACAATCTGCCCCTACAAGAGAATGTAACGGTCCAGGTAGGTCCTTGTCATCTGGCCGAACCAGTGCCCCAGATGATCTGCTTGGCTTGTTGGCTTTTGCTGATTTTCTGGGACTTCCTAGGACTTCAGCATAACACATGGACCTAAGATAGGTCCTTGAATATTGTTAGGAACCATTTATTGTGACGGTTTGTTCTCTTTTTCAGAAACAAAAACGCAGATCAGTCAACTCCAAAATTCCTGCTCCGAAGGAAGGTAAATGGATTTCTCTTGGCTTGTCATTATGGGGTTTGTGCCTGGGATAATGTTCCTGGGGCACAGGAAGTTGTGACATAAACTCATTGCTCCACTTTAGCAGGTGGCTCTGTGTGGGTTGAGTCCTGTGCTGTCTTCCAAGCATCTTAGTGAGGAAGAATCCAACCTACAGGGAGGTAGAAATAGGGAGATTTTAGTCAAAGAGTACAAAGTTTTATGGGAAACTTCACTTATGGGAAATAAGTTCTGGAGATCTCATGTATAACATCTGGTCTGTGATTATCAGCACTGTATTGTATACTTAAAATTTTACTATGAGGATAGTACATACATACATTAACAACAAAATAAAAATAAACAAAATACAAAACAAAGGGAGCAGAAACAGAACTTAGGAAGTGATGGGTAAGTTTATGGCATTGATTATTATAATGATAGTTTCATGGGTGTTTACTTTATCTCCAGACACAGCGAGTTGAATAAATACCTACAGCTTTTTGTACTTGAATCGTACCTCAAAAAAGTGCTTAAAAAAAAAAAAAAGAATCCAGCCCTTAGGCCAACCTCCCGAGGACCTGATGTATTTGGGAAATTTGCCAGTTGGCCTAGAAGCCTTTCCCATAGAATCCAGAGGAATAAGCAGCCACTCATGGGCTTGTTTTCTTTCCTCAAGGGAACAGTGTGCCTTGGAGTGAGGTGGTGAGCGGGCCCAGAGAAAAACTAGGTCTGGGCTATTTGGAAGTATAGTCAATGGTGCTGTGGAGATCGGGGGTGGGGTGGGATGGGAAGAATAATAGCATTGCCTTGAAGTCTAGGAGAAGGTTGGGCTTTCTCCACGGAAGTAGTCCTTGTACACCAACTCTGACTACAGTGGTCTGTAGCTATAGGGGGTGGGGTGGCTGTAGGTGCAAACTGCCCAAGAAATCCAACTTATGACTCAGAGCCAGCTATCCCTCAAAGCCTGTGTGGCCTGTCCCAACCAGGGGTGATCACTGCCCTGACATGGTCCAATGACCACAGGGGCCCAGAAACCACTTGCCTGGACCTTCAGGTTGGGGGGATCCCAGGTGGAAGGCGGTGCAATTGCAAGTTGGGCTGGGCCTGAGTGGTGGGGTTGCTGGCCCTCTTGCTAGCTATACTGTAAGGACCTGCAAGAGAAATTGGAATGGTCTTACTGCATATGCCTGTCCTCAGAGGACATTGCCCCAGCCCCTGTCAATGAAAAACAAATCCTAATACAGGTACGTGCTATTCAGCAGTAGAAATGAAACACAAGATGACAAATCTTTTAGGAAATAGGAAAATGATGATAATCTGTGCTGTTAATGAAAGACATGGATTGGGGCGCCTGGGTGGCTCAGTCGTTAAGCATCTGCCCTCGTCTCAGGTCATGATCCCGGGGTTCTGGGATCGAGCCCCGCATCAGGCTCCCTGCTCCGCGGGAAGCCTGCTTCTCCCTCTCCCACTCCCCCTGCTTGTGTTCCTTCTCTCGCTGTGTCTCTCTGTCAAATAAATAAATAAAATCTTTAAAAAAAAAAAAAAAGACATGGATTATACAGAGCCATCAGATCAGCGTAGACTTAGGAGACTCAGAAATTCAGTACAAGTTGGTGTCTGCCTATGTTACACTGGGTGTTCTATTTCCAAGTTTCTGACTTATTTCGTAGGTGATGAATTGTTTGTCTCTTATGGAGGGTAACTATATAAATGGGTAGAAGTTAACAAGAATTCAAATACAACTCAGTTGTTACTCTCACTTAAGCATTCTTCTAAGATTCCAGCATATCAATGTAGCTGACCCTGATGATGTAGTGATCTGATGATGTGGCCTGGGCCTGGCTCTGTAAAGCATCCTGGAGCAGTGGAAAAAGCCCAGCGTTTGGAATCTTGACAGTCTTGGGTTCACATCCTGGTTCCAACACTTACTAACTGAATGACAATGGGCAGGTCACTTAATTTCTCTGAGCCTCCGTGCCCCTCTTCCATCATATGGGAATACTGATATTTACCTTACAGTGTTGTTTTGAAATATGGGAAGATTGTACAGTGGTAGGTGTCACGGCAGTTAAGGTTTAATAATGCTTTTTCTCAGAGATTAGGTCTGCCTCTTCAGAAAGGATTTCAGATTAGCTGTAAGGTCCCTCCATTTACTTGAGACAGATGCTCTTGTGGGAGATGTCCTTGCTCTTGGGAGCTCTCAGATGGGCAGAACGAACAGATTAGTTTTGGAGTCACTAGTACTTGGCCTTTCTAATTTTTCCTTTTCCTCGGGTAGAAGGAACGGGAAGTTGGTGGGCTCCTTTCCTGCTGGTCTGGACCCATCTCACCCTATACAGAATCTTGGAGGGTTGCCCCCTAGTGGCCCCCACTGGCCCTCCTGATCTCGCTGCACTGAATGGCCACTGCCCTTGGTTCTCCAGGTCTCCGCGGCCGCTCCACTCGAATGTCTACTGTCTCAGAGGTTCGCATCACCACTCAGGAGAATGATATGGAGGTAGAGCTACCAGTGTCTACAAATTCCCGCAAGCAGTTTTCAGTTCCCAGTGAGTAATGAATCTGTTTTCCCTGTTTGAGGTTCTGGAACAGCTCCTCACACATTGCCCTGTCCTTGTTCTAGAATATCCTGAGATTCCTACATTCCCCTGGCTTCAGTTCTGTTCTGGCACCAACCCCCCCGCTCCCTTATTTGGAAATCATTTCATTTTACTCTTAATTGTATTGAAACATAATATATATACAGAAAAGCAAATGTATCATTGAGTGTATAGTTCACAAACTGAACACACTCACGTAACTAACACCCAGATCAAAAAGAGCATTACTAGCAACCCAACAGTCCCCCTCAAGCTCCCGACAGTTCCTAAGCCCCTAAGGGTACCTATAATCTTGACTTCTGATAGCATAAATTAACTCTGGACTTTGCATAAATGGAGTTTTAAAATATTTTTAAGGGCACCTGTGTGGCTCAGTTGTTTAAGCATCTGCCTTCGGCTCAGGTCATGATCCCAGCATCCTGGAACTGAGCCCCATGTCGGGCTCCCTGCTCAGTGGGGAGTCTGCTTCTCCCTCTCCCACTGCCCCTATTCATGCTGTCTCTCAAATAAATAAAAATCTTTTTAAAAAAACCAAAATATTTTAGTTGCTAACTTTTATTAGATAAAGCAGGTGCAGATTTTGTAAGATATACAATCATTACGTCTTACATGTCAAATTCAGCTCTAATAAAATGAAGGTAAACGAAAGGGTCACAACCAGGTATGGGAAGTAATGAGTTATCATGGGATGTACTTTTCTGGGATGGCAGTATGTTTAGTTGTGGTTCAGGTTCCTGGTTTTGTTTTTTGTTTTTTTAAGATTTTATTTATTTATCAGAGAGAAAGAGAGACAGGTAGTGGAAGAAGCAGGCTCCCTGCTGAACAAGGAGCCTGATGCGGGGCTTGGTCCCAGGACCCTCGGATCATGACCTGAGCCAAAGGCAGACACTTAACTGACTGAGCCACCCAGGTGTTCTACTCAGTTTCCTGTTATTCCTGGCTTTTCTGTCCGTTCCTGTTAGCCATCCAGGCTCCAAGGCTTTGGAGAAGTCAGAAAAGCCTGGCTTTTCTTCCAAATGAGTAGAAAGCCCTGGCCTGAGAACCCAGGCTTGGGTCCAGCCTAAAGTCTTCAGGCCTTTAGAGGCTTTTCCTTCGTCGTGAAGTCCATACTGATCTATTTACATACCCTTTCAGATATATCTATATACAGATATATATAGATACATATATTTTTTAATTTAAAGATTTTACTTTTTAAAGATTTATTTATTTAGGGCGCCTGGGTGGCTCAGTTGGTTAAGCGACTGCCTTTGGCTCAGGTCATGATCCTGGAGTCCCGGGATTGAGTCCCACATCGGGCTCCCTGCTCGGCAGGGAGTCTGCTTCTCCCTCTGACCCTCTTCCCTCTCGTGCTATCTCTCATCTCTCTCTCTCAAATAAATAAATAAAATCTTTAAAAAAAAATTTATTAGAGACAGAGAAAAAGAGAAAGCAGGGGGGTGGGGGAAGAAGGAGAGGGAGAGAGAGAATCTCAAGCAAACTCCCCCGAAGTGGGGCTCAGTCTCACCACCCTGAGACCACAACCTGAGCCGAAATCAAGAGTTGGACACTCAACCGACTGAGCCACCCAGGTGCCCCTTAAAGATTTTATTTTTAAGTAATCTCTACACCCAACATGGGGCTCAGACTTACAACCCTGAGGTCAAGAGTTGTACTGTCTACCGACTGAGTCAGCCAAGCGCCCCACCCTCCCAAGAATTTTGATCCCAGGAGCCAGCCCTCGCAGAGAGACTGACTGGGCTCAGGGTGTGGGCTGAGGTGAAGGGAAAAGCCCAAGGTCTGCTCACACTGTGGGAGCCTGAGCCCTTGCTGAGCCGGCAGTTGGTTGCACCCGTCCTGGTGCATGACCTGCTAGGGCTCAGAGGAGCACAGCTCTGGTATGCCTGCCTGCTTCGCCAGTGACTCTTGTTCCCCCACAGCTGGCCCCCCTCGGCCCTCCTGTTCGGCAGTGGCTGAAATACCATTGACGATGGTCAGCGAGGAGGTGGAAGAGCAAGTCCATTCCATCCGAGGCAGCTCTTCTGCAAACCCTGTGAACTCAGGTAGATGCGCCGAGCTGTCTGCTCTCCTGCTCCTGGTGCAGGATAGGTTGTTCCATCTGTCCCAAACCTGGCCTGCTTTGGCACCTGAATTCAAACCATGTTTGTCACAATGGGGCATGTTTTCCTGTGTCTTTGGCATCAGTCTTTCACAAGACGTGACCCTGTCCCCACTAGCTGACAGGAGCCCTCAGATGTAGTTGAGTTGCTGTCACAGCTCAAGTCTTGGCCAACACCTGAAGGATAAACCAGAATGACCATCAAGATCAGTCAGGGATGGTATCCCCTCTTCTGATTGTTGAGAAAATGCCACAGAGGCATGGAGAGAGCTTGGGTTAGGCCTAGAGTGCTTGTGCAAGTCTTTACTTTGCGGATTTGGCCCTCCCAACAGTCACATCTGTTGCTGCTGTAAGGATCCTTGCATATGCTCCTTGCATATGGTCATTTAAAAACAAGGGCCTAGGAAAGGCCCAGGACTCAGTACAGCAGCTGAAGAGTAGGCCGGCTGGCCTAGACAGATAATAGTGGGCTTCCTTTCCCCTGCTCCCCACAGTTCGGAGGAAATCCTGTATTGTGAAGGAAATGGAAAAAATGAAGAACAAGAGAGAAGAGAAGAGGGCCCAGAACTCCGAAATGAGAATAAAGCGAGCACAGGTACTTTTCTTAGGTCAAGGGTTTTGAGACAGATGTCCTTAACTGCAACCTCACCAGCAACAGAGATACATTTGGGCCCCAGCATTTCTGAGACTCCAGTTCTGATATCGAGGACATTTAACTGGTTTCTCATTAGGACTCAGAGAAGATATAAGTCAGATAGTTTCTGAGGCCTTCGGGTGAGGAATATTTCGTGCTGACCAATATGTGTGGTGGCAACGGAGCTACTAGGCAGAGTTGCTTGCTTCCCTGCCCCCCCCCACCCGCCCCCCGTCCCCACAGTTGTGTTGGTGGGGGCGGGGGAAGTGCTGCAGTGGAGTTCCAGTTTGGAGCACTTCCTCTCAATTGGGTTCGTTGCTCTCAGGAATCTCAACCTGCTGGTCTCCTAAAAGGGGACAGTGGCTCTGGCCCTAGTTCCTAGAGTGGTTTGGTGCATGCCTAGGCACCCCCCTCTGCCAGTCTCCGTCTTCAGGGCTTTGTTTGTGAGTTCTCAGCCTAGAGCCAGGGTGGGAGGAAGTAAGACTAGGGGGGCTTTGTCAACTGAAGGGCTGTATGCATGTAAAGAGCTGTTGCTGCTTAGCACTGAGCTCTGAGAGCACTTACATGTCGGCATGTCAGCCGTCCGTCCTTTTTCGCCCTTGTCCCAAACAGGAGTATGACAGCAGCTTTCCAAACTGGGAATTTGCCCGGATGATTAAAGAATTTCGGGCTACTTTGGAATGTCATCCGCTTACTGTGACTGATCCTGTAAGTAAGCCCAAAGGGCTTCTACCTCTCCTTCCTGAGTAAGTGTACAATTGAGAGACAAATTTCCCCTTTAGGAGAGTGAGACCCTACAGGAATCTCCACTCACCCTTGAGGTATTTTCAGTACCCTTTGGTGGGCTAGAGCAAGTAAGGCTGCATGGGAGAGTCTGATCTCCAAAACTCCCACCCTCCTCACTTGCATAGGTTGGCTAGATCCTTACTAATAATCACGGAAGTAGCACTGAAACCTGTAGGCAGCAGAGTGAGGAAACTGGGAAGGAAATTCAGAGCTGTCTGCTGTGCTCTAGAGCACAGCAGAGGCAGGGGTCCTAGTGTCAGGTCCTGGCCCCAGAGTGGGCCAGACACGGGACTGGAAAAGGAGGGGTTCTTTCAATATTGCTCTGACCTTTCACTGGTTGGTTGTCTTCTCTCATCCTCTTGAAGATCGAAGAGCACAGGATATGTGTCTGTGTGAGGAAACGCCCGCTGAATAAACAAGGTAAGCCCTGATCAGTCAGAAGGAGGCTCTGGACTGACATCCTCCGTGTCCAGGAATCATCCCCTGAAATACTCTCCTTCTGCAGAATTGGCCAAGAAAGAAATTGATGTGATTTCCGTTCCCAGCAAGTGTCTCCTCTTGGTCCACGAGCCCAAGTTAAAAGTGGACTTAACAAAGTATCTGGAGAACCAAGCCTTTTGCTTTGACTTTGCATTTGATGAAACAGTTTCAAATGAAGTTGTGTACAGGTTAGTCTCTTGCCTCTTTTTTTCCCCTTCCCCCAGCCTTCCTCTTTTCCATGCGGGACATTGTGATAGCACTACTCACAGCCACACTGAACTCTGAGGCCCTTCCTGGTCTCGTATTTTCTTTGGATCAGCTGTCACAGAGCTGGCTCTGGCTCTGACTCCGACTCCAGCTCCCAGGCACCAGGAGGGCCCAGCTTGGGCCTGTTATATCCCATTTTGCATCTTTAGCAGCCCATCCTTGAATGGCTCATAAGTGAGGTATTACCCATTGCACTCTGCTGAGGCCGGGCTGGGTTGGGGTTCTTCCAGTATCTTATGCAGCCACTCACCCACTAAGCTTAGCAGACTCTGCACACACTAGGATTGCTCTAATACAGCACCCACAAGCCTCATGTGGTTTTTCGTTCTTGTTCTGTTTTTTTAGATTTTTATTTTTAAGTAATCTCTACACCCAAGGTGGGGATCGAACTCACAACCCGCAAGATCAAGAGTCACATGCGCCATTGACTGAGCCAGCCAGGCACTCCATCATATAGCTATTTAAATAAAAAATAAAATTAAGAATTCAGTTGGTTTTTTTTTTTTTTTTTTTTGGCTTAAACTCATGACCCTGAGATCAAGAGTTGCATGCTCTACCAACTGAGCCAGCCAGGCATCCTAGAATTCATTTTTTTAGTCATATTAGCCACATTTTAAATGCTTAATAGCCATATGTGGCTGTGACTGCTATTACAGTAGAGAGCACTTCTATTATCACAGAAAGTTCTTTTATTTTTTTTTAAGGTTTGTGTATTTATTTTAGGGAGAGAGAGAGTGAGCACGCAAATGTGAGAAGGGAGAGAATCTTTCAAGCAGACTCCCCACTGAGCGCAGAGCCCAACGTGGGGCTCGATCTCCTGACCCTGAGATCATGATCTGAGCTGAAACCAACAGTCAGATGCTTAACCGACTGAGCCACCCAGGTGCTCCATCACAGAAAGTTCTATTATCAGGACTGCTCCAGACCAGAGGATGACAGACTGCAGCCCATGGACCAAATTTGGCTCACAATCCCTTTTTATAAAAAGGGCTCTCAAACCAAGAATGAATGGTTTCTATGTTTTTAAAGGATTTTTTTTTTTTAATGTGACAGCTGGGTGCCTGGCTAGCTCAGTTGGTGGAGCATGCAACTCTTGATCTCAGGGTTGTGAGTTTATAAGCCCCCATTGGGTATAGAGATTACTTAAAAATAAAACCTTAAAAAATAAGTGACAGAGACCTATGTGGCCCACAAAGCCTAAAATATTTTAAGGTCCTACTTTAGAGGGTTTCCTCTGATGTTTGTAGTGTTTCTTATGCTGGCGGTCAGCTACTAAGCTCAGAGTTTCACCTTGGGTCTCCAGGGTCAGAGGGAGGGCTGGTGGCTCAATTAGAGTGAAGGCCACCTGCTTACTCTTGGCAGGTCAGTCTAGCCCTCCCCAGTTGGCTGGAAGAATTTCAAACTTATTAGTGGGGCTGGGGCCCGGTAGGACCACTTTGCAGGAGAGGAGTGCTAGTGCTTGGAAGGAGGAATTGAAGACCCCGGGAGTTCTGCAGTGAAAGAGCCAACAGGACCACATTCTAGGAAGCACATTTTAGGGAGAGAGAAATACTCTCTCCTATCCTTTCTCCTAGGTTCACAGCAAGGCCACTGGTCCAGACCATCTTTGAAGGGGGAAAAGCAACCTGTTTTGCATACGGCCAGACGGGAAGTGGCAAGACACATGTGAGTATTCAGGCCCGGCAGGGAGCAGGCCTGCCCGTGGTGTCTCACCGGGTCCCTGAAAAGGAAGCCGGTAAGCTTCTTGCAGAGAGTGCCGTTGGCACAGACGCTCCATCAGCAGATACTCTTGTGCCACATGCCTCTGCCGGCGCAGCATCTCAGCTTTGGTGCAGCGATGAAGCCAGTAGTGCTCTGGCCTAGGCCCAGGGCCCTGTACCACAGTCTTCCACCTCTTCCCTTGCAGACCATGGGCGGAGACCTCTCTGGGAAAGCCCAGAATGCATCCAAAGGGATCTATGCCATGGCCTGTAAGTATGTGTTCCCCCGCAATGGGGTTGGGCACAGAAAGCCAGGCTGCTTACTTAATTCAGGCTCTCTCCATAGCCCGAGATGTCTTCCTCCTGAAGAATCAGCCCCGCTACCGGAACCTGGGCCTGGAAGTCTATGTGACATTCTTCGAGATCTATAATGGAAAGGTAGCTAGCTGGCAAGGAGCCCCTATTTGTACTGTTGGGGCCCCTGAACTTTCTAAATCCTTGAGGTTGGCTAGAAATTGTAGAAACCAAACAACCTGTGGGCCTTCAGGCCTTTGATGGGCTGCTCTGCCCGGACATGTGTGGGAGATTTCATCTGATCATGAGATGGGGCCCAAGCTCAGCAAGTAGGGCAGCAATACTCATCAGGGCACCTCTCACATGGGCGGCTTGCCTTGTGTGTGCCCTGCCCTCCCTTGACCCACCTCCTTTATAACCTTTCTACTCTTCCCCTGATCGTGTACGTTCATTCTCTGTTCATCTTCTCTTTCACTCTCTCCTCCACCCCTCATACCCTGTACCCTCTCTCTCTACACTCTGTGCTTTTGCAGAGTTGCCTTCCCCAGAGCAGGATCTCGAGGATAATAATAATACAGCTAATGTGGATTATTGATACGGTATCGTGTGCTAAAGCACACGTCTCAACTTATTCAATCACTACAGTAACCTCTGAGGCAGAATTACCATCATTATTCTGCAGATGAGGAATAAGCCTGGAGCCGTTAGGTACGGGTCTAGGCTCCCATAGCTGGCAAAGTAACAAAGTCAGAGCACACTGAGGCAGCCTGACTCAGCTTTCAGGGGTCCTGCCCTGCCCCCGGCTTAGCTTCTCTCTGCCTTCCCTGCTGCCAGCCTTATCTAAGCTGGGACAGGCCCTGAAGGATGGGGTGTTGGGTGGGGTGCCCGGCCCCTGATGGCCTTAGCCTTGTTCCCCTGCCTGGCACAGCTGTTCGACCTGCTCAACAAGAAAGCCAAGCTGCGTGTGCTAGAGGACGGCAAGCAGCAGGTGCAGGTGGTGGGACTGCAGGAGCACCTGGTTAGCTGTGCCGACGATGTCATCAAGATGATCGACATAGGCAGTGCCTGCAGGTCAGAGTTCTGGTGATGGGAAGGGGCCCCCAATCCCTGGTTCAGGTGACAGACCCTCGCTCTAAGCCCACTGCTGTTTCCACAGAGTGCCGCTCTCCGCAGCTTGGTGAGGGCTGTGAGGGCCGCTGCCTTAAGGACTCTCAATAGCGCAGATGGCCCCAGGCCGGAGGCTCATCAGGAGCGAGTCAAAGTGTCTTAAATCTAACCAAAGTAGACTTTTTTTTTAAAGATTTTATTTATTTATTTGACAGAGAGTACAAGCAGGGGGAGTGCCAGAGGGAGAGGGAGAAGCAGGCTCTCTGCTGAGCAGGGAGCCCGATGTGGGACTCGATCCCAGGACCCTGGGATCATGACCTGAGCCTGAGCTGAAGGCAGATGGTTAACCGACTGAGCCACTCAGGCGCTTCCCCTCCCCCCCAAGGCAGACTTTATTTCTAGGCTCTTACCCCAAAGCATACTTCCTGACTTCTCTAGGTTTTTCTTTGCTCTTCTCTCCCTCTGTGGTAGGAGACAGGATCTCTGGGTATGTTCTAGGCTGGAAGTGATGGGGTCCTAGCTCCTCTATAGAGTTAGGGAAGTGCTCTGCCACCAGGCATGGTGCAGTGGGGTGCTGGGTGGCTTATGGAGGCCCAGAGAATGGGCTGCCCTCCTCAGGGCCCTCTAGCTTTGACAAGTGGTTCATGACAACCCTTCCTTCTCCCCCTGGGCCCTGCAACACAGGCCACTCCTTCCCCATGTGCTGTTGGGCCGTCGGGTCTCGCTAAGGTCCTAGCACAGAATCCAGTACTTTCACTGCCAGGAAAACTTGCTAGGTCCGGAGCTGGAGGGAGAGCTGCTGCCCACGGAGGACAAAACAGAGGTCCGGGACAAGAAGATACAGGACTGTTCCGAGTCCTGACTCATGCCCCTTGTACCAGAGAACTTAGTGCTGTGAAGTGGGGTGCTTGAACTCTGGGGAGCCACAGTGCCTGGTAACCTCAGAGGCTCATAGCCTTTCTTTGCTCTCCTTTGACACAGGACCTCTGGGCAGACATTTGCCAACTCCAACTCTTCCCGCTCCCATGCCTGCTTCCAGATTCTTCTTCGAGCCAAAGGGAGAGTGCATGGCAAGTTCTCTTTGGTGGATCTGGCAGGGAATGAGAGAGGTGCGGACACTTCCAGTGCTGACCGGCAGACCCGCATGGAAGGTGCAGAAATCAACAAGAGCCTCCTGGCTCTGAAGGTAGCAGGGCCTTGACAGAGGTGGTTGGCCTGGAGGGCTCCTGGTGGAGGGACGGAGGGAGTGGGCGGCCCAGAAGGAAGGAAGGGACCACAGTGGCTACTGCTCCCCCACAGGAGTGCATCAGGGCCCTGGGACAGAACAAGGCTCACACCCCATTTCGAGAGAGCAAGCTGACACAGGTGCTGAGGGACTCCTTTATCGGGGAGAACTCAAGGACCTGCATGGTGAGTAGGGTCACTTTGGAGGTGGTATAGAAAGACCCTGAGTCCTGTCTGTGGGCAGGCTTGGTGCCCCTGGCCATCTGGGTTTCCAGGCTTGATCTTGACTGGGCATCCCCTGCTGCCTTTTATTTATTCACTTACTTATTTTAAAGATTTATTTAATTATTTGAGAGAGAGAGCACGTGCATGCACAAGCAAGGGTAGGGGCAGAGGGAGAGGGAGAGAGAGAATCCTCGAGAAGACCCCTTGCCAAGTGCAGAGCCCAGCATGGGGCTCAATCCCAGGACCCTGAGACCATGACATAAGCCCAAATTAAGAGTCGGATGCTCAACTGACCGTACCACCCATTCGCCCCCCTCACCCCCAACCTGGCCTTTTAGTGCTAAGTACCTATTCCAAGAGGGAAGGAAAGGATATGCTCGCTTTACTGTATGTCTGGGCAGCTCTTGGTTTGGGGATGGTCCATGCTCCCTTACCTGGTGAAATGGGGCCCCAGAAATCAGAAGGAGGGCTATCGGAAAGCAGGAGAGGGAAATTCTCATCTCCTCTGTGGCTTCCTTCAGGTTTGTTGGCTCCCAGCTTTGCAGATAGGAAAGGGCTATGGCCTTAAATGATTTTTGTCCCCTTATTTTATCTACGAGCCCTGCTAGCTAGGGTCTGCCCTTCTTCCCCTCCAAGGAATCTCCTCTCCCCAGCCTACGAGGGAAGGTGGGAATTTCTGACTAAGCTCTAAACCATCATTCCTGAGCCTAGCTGAATAGAAGTTTCCAGCAGGAGCCACTGCTCCTTAAGATGTGACCTTGGTGAGAGGGTCAATAAAGTGATAAAGCAACAGAGGGGATAACCAGTTGCACCAGGAACCAATTTTCAAGGTGCATTAATTTTCGGTGCCCATGGGGCAAGTTGCCTGGCACAGAGTGGGTGCTTAATTATTAGCTTCCTGCTTCAATACTGTGTGGGTGTCAGCAGCTCAAATAGATAGTTCCTGACAGTCTCCAGCAGTAGGAGGTCTGGTGCACTTACCCTGTGATCTTCAACCCTTAACTGCCTCTTTCCCCCTTTTGCAGATTGCCATGATCTCACCAGGCATAAGCTCCTGTGAATATACTTTAAACACACTAAGATACGCAGACAGGTACTGGTACCCATGGCCAGTGGGATGGGGAGAGGGGTGTAGGAGGGAGGAAAGGAAGAGGGAGGAAGCTCTGGAGTCTCAGTGCCTACTGTATATGCTTCTGTGACTCAGTGAATCTGAGACTTGGGAGTTCAGACATGATGCTAGATGGTCTGTCCCAGTCCCCTTCAGGCCTTGGTTGAGAGCCAGCATGGGTCCTCCAGGCCAAAGTCAAAGCTGCTTCTCCCCTTGAGCCTCATGGTCTGAGTGGTGCTGCAGTCTTGTGAGTGCCAAGGAGGCTCCTGTGGACTCTGAGACCTTCTTGTTTCCTCAGGGTCAAGGAGCTGAGCCCCCACAGTGGGTCCAGTGGGGAGCAGCCAACTCAGATGGAAACAGAAGAGATGGAAGCCAGTTCTCATGGGTCCCTGATCACAGGCAATGTAAGGTGTGGGGTGGGGCCAGGCAGAACGGAAATGTGGCCTGCTGAGACTGGAACTAGACCATACTGTTGTACCTCTCCTTTTGGCCCCTTCAGTTCTCCAAGGAAGAGGAGGAACTATCTTCCCAGATGTCCAGTTTTAATGAAGCCATGTCTCAGATCAGGGAGTTGGAGGAAAGGGCCGTGGAGGAGCTCAAGGAGATTATACAGGTGAGGAGCTGGCCCTGGCTAGGGAGGGATTGGGTATCCATACTAGCAGAACCCCTCGGTGGTGCCTAGCACCATTCTTTGAACGTGACCTGGGCTTTGCTCCCACAAGTCTTCAGATGGGTATGGCAAGAGGCAGGCCTCTACCTAGCATTCCATCATTCTCTACCTATTCATCTAGCTGTTCTAGAACAACTAATTAACAAACCCCCTTCTCCAGCCTGGCCCACACAGCCTTTCTCCTCCATCTTCCTAGCCAGAGCTAGTGTCTCTCCTCTATGCTCCTGACTGAGGTTTTGGAGAGTGATTTATATGCAGAGACCTTGGCTTGTTTATTCAGTGAGTGTTTGGTGAGTACTTTCTGTATGTCAACCGCTGTGCTGAAACCAACAAGAGGTATGGATAGTATGCCCTAAAATAAGACTAGATCAATCCTGACTCTTCTGTTTATAAGCTGATTTCCTTATGAAAGTCATTTATCATCACTAGGCCTCCGTTTCTTCATCTCTAAAATGGGCAAGATGGGTGGTTGTGTCTGAGGATTAAGTGATATGCTTTTAAAGCAGTGCATAGCACGCAGTTAGTGTGTGGTAGGTGTTGGATGCTGATGCTGCTGTGACTCCTGCTGTGGGAGAGCAGGGGGAGGGGAGGCCCGAGAGTGCATTCTGCCAGGGAGGCGCTCAGGGTGCAGCACAGAAAGGAGCTTGGGCCACTCTGAACTGAGGAGGGGACGTGAAGTGTAAGTGCTTAAGCCTGTCCTCCCTCCCTGGAATGCTCAGGGGTACAAATGTGTGAAAGGCCATGGTACTTTCAGGAAGAATGAGAGATTCACTCTGACCAAAGCAAAAAGAGTAAGCAGATGATGGAGTTAAGGCCGTGGCCAGGTCAGCTAGAGGGCCCATGGTTCACTCCCAAGGCCTGGACTTGGTCACAAGGGCAGTGGATGCCTTTGAAGGAAGTAAAGCGGAGTATGGTCGGATCAGATGGCATGGTCTTATCAGAGCTTTAGGTGCAATGTGGAGCCTGGTTTGGGAATGTGGGAGAGCATGAGTAGAGGCACTTTGGAGTTAAGAGCAGTTAGGAGATTATTGTTAAGAGTTCAAGAGAGGTGTTGGTGCCTTGATGGAGTGTGGCCATGGCCACCATGGGACTGGAGTGAGGACATGAGACTCAGATGCCATTTAAGGGGCAAAATTGGTAGGATCCGGGGACAAGCAGCAGGGTAAAAGAATAAAGTTGCTTCTCCCATTTCTGGCGTGGTCTCAAGACAGATTGTGATGTTCATTTGACCCGGGGAGAGGGACAAGTTGGAGGCAGGAAAGAGGATGGATTCAGTTGAAGATTTCTGCGTGAGGTTAGGAGGCAAGAGTGTGGGCTGTGGCCGAAGGAATGGGCAGCTCGTGCACGTCATCCGCATTGCAGGTGGTAGGGGTGCAGGAAGGGTTTGCTAAGTTGGTTTGACAATTTTTGAACTGACAAGCTTCCCCCGTGTCACCGCAGCAAGGGCCAGGCTGGCTGGAGCTCTCTGAGATGACTGAGCAGCCAGACTATGACCTGGAGACCTTTGTGAACAAGGCAGAGTCTGCCTTGGTCCAGCAAGCCAAGCACTTCTCAGCCCTGCGAGGTGGGTATGGCTGAAGGATGGGGCCTCTGCCCTGAGGGAAAGGGGCCTCTGAGACCCCCGCTGACCCACAGTGCCCCCCGCTTCCTTCCAGATGTCATCAAGGCCTTGCGCCTGGCCATGCAGCTGGAAGAGCAGGCCAGCAAACAAATAAGCAACAAGAAACGGCCCCAGTGACGACTGCAAATAAAAGATCTGTTTGGTTTCACACCCAGCCTCTTCCACTCTCCATCCCTCCCCAGCAAACTTTGGGCACCGGGTGGGTCTAGTCAGGGTCTGAGCTGGGACAGGCTTTGGTAAATGCCAAGTATGGAGGCCTGGGGCAGCTGGGGAGGTGGTCAGAGTGACATGGGACACTACTTTCCTTTTCCTCAGTTGTAGCGCTCAAGGGAGCAAGAATGGGAAGAAAGAAGATGGGAAGGGTGTTGCCTTCTCTCCAGGAGGGGAAGACTCTCTGGTATAGAGTTTTCCCTTGGGCGGCCTTCTGCCTATGTGGACTGGCTACTGGTGGGGTGGTCCGTGGGGTTATCCTGGCTCTGGGGAGAGGGAAGGAGGCTTTAGTCCATCTCTCTGCTGGCTCTGGCCTGCCTTCCATGCCCTTGGTTCAGGCACTATGTCTTGTACTTTAAAAAAAGTCTCTGGGATCTCTTCCTTGCTGGTTTTTGAGGCTCAAGAGGTCCCTGCTGTTTTCTGTTTTACGTGTTTATACATTGTGTCTAACAATAAAGAAAGGGAAAAATCAATCTGTTGAGTGGTGTGTGGGAAGGACTAAGGACAGACACTTCCGCCACTCTCCGTAGTGCTGATTCTGTACTCTCCCTGAGGAGGCCAGATCCACACCAGCAGTTTCAGTGATGTGGTAAAGCTTCAGCCCCTGCCTTGTTCAGTGCTTCCCTGGTCCCAGGTCCTCTTCCTGGGACCAGGAGCTAGAAGCAGAAAAGAGATGGTGCTCTGTCAGTTACGGTCTGCTCAAGGCAACACTGACAAGAAGGCATTTGGCTTGCTAGATGGGAAGGGATCTGATGAGCAACACCAGTTTGGTCTGGAAAAATTAGAAGTTTGCCAAGTGGACTGAGAAACCAAGGATAGAGCATGGACAATTTGGGAACTGGAGGGTTCCAGATTCCTTGTCATAGAACATGAATTATCCAAATAGTAATATGCCACTAAAACATTTTTAGTCTTAAGTGCCACACAACCAAATATGTGTTCTAGAAAAGCCTCAGGAAGGTGGGTGGGGAGCACGAGGCACATGGGCTACTGTAGAAACTCTAGAGTAAAGAGCTCGAACAGACCAGGTTCTGGCTCTCCCAGACTCAGTTACTTCATTTGTAAAACAGGCACATTCTCTACCTCATTGCATGAGTTAAAGGTGCCAGTCAATAACCAATTGTAGGACCTAGCTTCAGAAATTTAGCTGAACCAAGTTCACAGAGACAGCACTAGCTCTGAGGCCTTCAAAGCTTCCAGATACCTAACTTTCTCCCTCATCTGTGAAATGGGGTCACCAAAACCCACCTCACAGAACCGGAAAGATTAAATGAAGACCTTACCAGACGGCCCATCTTCTTACCTGGAATACCATAAGTGTTCCTAATGGGGGTGCATCCTTACAAGTCATCCCCTGCTCCGAACCCTTTATTTATTTATTTTTAAACACTTATTTATTTATCTATTTTTAAAGACTATTTACTTATTAGAGAGTACAAGCAGGGGGAGAGGGAGAAGCAGGCCTCCCGCGGAGCAGGGAGCCCCATGCAGGACTCAATCCCAGAAATCCGGGATCATGACCTGAGCTGAAGGCAGCCACCCAATGGACTGAGCCACCCAGGTGCCCCTGCTCCGAACCCTTTAATAGTATCCCTTCACACAAAGGATAAATTCTGAGCGCCCTACTGTGGCCTGGTCAGCTCCTTCCTCTGTTAGTCCAGTTGGAATGCAGTTTGGCCAGAACAGTTCGAGGTTAAAAGCCCAGTTTCTGAAGCCACACAGCCTGGCTCTGACTGCAGAAACTTATGTGGGTTTCACATCTTTGTGCTGTCTGTGACATGGGGTAATACTGGTATAGAAGTGTTAGGAAAATTGAGTTGATATACACACAGTAAGTACAATGTCCCATATTTAACAAATGCTATGTAAGTGCTAGTTAGCTATTTTAAGCACATAAGGACAAATACTGTATCCACAATGTCTAGAACATATGGTGAGCATACAATATATATTTTTGAGTGAATAAACTATCTCCTACCACTCACTGTTCTCCAACTACACTGACATTTATTTCTTGAATATGCAAGACCTTTTTTTTAAAAAAAAAAAAAAGCTTTATTGAGATATAATTCACATACTTTTTTTTTTTAAAGATTTTATTTATTTGACAGCTACACAGTGAGAGAGGGAGCACAAGCAGGGGGAGTGGGAGGGAGAAACAGGCTTCCCGCCAAGCAGGGAGCCCGATGCGGGACACGATCCCAGGACCCTGGGATCATGACCTAAGCCTAAGGCAGGCGCTTAACAACTGAGCCACCCAGGTGCCCTGAGATATAATTCACATTCTTTAAAATTCACATATAGTGGCACCTGGGTGGCTCAGTTAAGTGTCTGCCTTCGTTCAGGTCATGATCTTGGGGTCCTAGGATCGAGCCCTGTATCAGGTTCCCTGCTCGGCGGGGAGTCTGCTTCTTCTCCCTCTCCCTCTGCCCCTCCCTTGCTCATGCTCTGTCTTTCTCTCTCAAATAAAATCTTAATTTTTTTTAAAGGTTTTATTTGAGAGAGAGAGCACGAGCAAGGGGAGGGCCAGAGGGAGAGTGAGAAGCAGACTCCCTGCTGAGCAAGGAGCCAGATGCGGGGCTTGATCCTAGGACCCCGGGATCATGACTTGAGCCAAAGGCAGACGCTTAATGACTGAGCCACCAGGCATCCCTAAATAAATAAAATCTTTTTTTTTTTATATTTATTTATTTGACAGAGAGACACAGCGAAAGAGGGAACACAGGCAGGGGGAGTGGGAGAGGGAGAAGCAGGCTTCCCACAGAGCAGGGAGCCTGATGCAGGGCTTGATCCCGGGACCCTGGGATCATGACCTGAGCAAAGGCAGATGCTTAACGACTGAGCCACTTAGGCGCCCCAATAAAATCTTTTTTTTTTTAAGATTTTATTTATTTATTTGAGAGAGAGAGAGAGCACATGAGCTGGGGGAGGGTCAGAGGGAGAAGCGGGCTCCCTGATGCGGGACTCGATCCCGGAACTCCAGGATCATGACCTGAGCCAAAGGCAGTTGCTTAACCAACTGAGCCACCCAGGCACCCGCCCCAATAAAATCTTTAAAAAAATAAAATTTACATGCTATAAATTCAGTGGTTTTGGTATACTCATTTAATTGGGCAACCGTCACCACTAATTCCAGAACATTTTCACCCAAAAAGAAACGCAATACCTGTTAGCAGTCACCCCCCAATCAACTCTTCCCCCAGCCCCAGGAAACCACTAATCTACTTTCTCTATGGACTTGTTATTCTGGACATTTCATATAAATGGAATCATACAATATGTGGTCTTACTGTCTGGCTTCTTTCACTTAGTGTTTTGTTTTTTTTTTTTTTTAAAGTACGCTTGGCACCCAACATGGAGTCCAATGCAGGGCTTGAACTCATGACCCTGAGATCAAGACCTGAGCCCAAACCAAGAGTTGGACACTCAACCAACTGAGCCACCCAGGTGCCCCCAAAATGGATGAATCTAAAAAACACACTAGGGCGCCTGGGTGGCTCAGATGGTTAAGCGTCTGCCTTCGGCTCAGGTCATGATCCCAGGGTCCTGGGATCGAGTCCCGCATCGGGCTCCCTGCTCAGCGGGGAGCCTGCTTCTCCCTCTGCTTCTCTCTCTCTCTCTCTCCGTCTCTCATGAATAAATAAATAAAATCTTTAAAAAAAATAAAAAATAAAAAAATAAAAAACACACTAAGTGAAGGGTTTTAGCTCTTATATTTGACCCAATTTTAGTTAATTTTTGTGGATGGTGTGAGGTGTCTGAATTCACTTTTTGGCTTGTGGCTATCAGTATTTTCCAGCACCATTTTTAAAAAGACTGTTGTTTTCCCATTGAATTGACTTGGCACCTTTGTTGAAATCCATTGACCAGGGGCGCCTGGGTGGCTCAGTTGGTTAAGTGTCTGCCTTCAGCTCAAGTCACGATCCCTGGGATCAAGCCCAGCGTCAGGGCTCCCTGCTCAGCAGGGAGCCTGCTCTCCCTCTTGGGCTCTCTCCCTCTCTCTGTCAAATAAACAAATAAATAATCTTAAAAAAAACAACAACAGTGCGCCTGGGTGGCTCAGTTGGTTGAGCGACTGTCTTCGGCTCAGGTCATAATCCTGGAGTCCCGGGATCGAGTCCCAGATCGGGCTCCCTGCTCAACGGGGAGTCTGCTTCTCCCTCTGACCCTCTTCCCTCTTATGCCCTCTGTCTCTCATTCTCTCTCTCTCAAATAAATAAAAAAAAAATCTTTAAAAAAAAAATACCAGCCTGTTCACAGATGATCCAAGAACATTCAAATAATAAAATATAAACATGTTAAAGATTGATCTTCAAACATTGTGCCAGTGATGCCTCCCTTGTTTATGATCTCCCTGACAAAATCACATCCACACCTCAGTGGCCACCAAGCCATTCAGCTGAGCTTCCTTAACTGTGAACTGTTTGAAACTACCCATCTGAGCAGTCTTGACTTTTTTTCAAGCTCTGAATAGCTATAGGGATCTCAGCAGGAGTTGGAAGAACCAGCTCAACCTTGGCATAGTGCCAAAATGCAGCCAATCTGCCCATCAGCCCACTAAGGCTTTGAGTAAGTTATAGCAGTTTCCACTAGCACCAGGGCCTTCTCTGCAAGGTTATGGAAAACTGGGCCATGGTTCCAGGATAGAAACTTGATTTCTGGACTTTAAATGCTATTCCATTTGTCTGTATATCTGTCCTTGTGCCAATACTACACTGTTTGATCACGGTAGTTTGTATTAAGTTTTGAACTCAGGAAGTGTAAGTTCTCCAACTGTGTTCTTTTTCAATATTGTGTTGGCTATTCAGGGCTTCTTGCAATTCCATGTGAATTTGAGGATCGGCTTTTCTGTTTCTGCAAAAAAGGCTAATGGGATTGCACGGACTCTGTAGATTGCTTTGGGTAATATTACCATCTTAACATTAAGTACATGTCCTTAGGATGTTTTGTACATGTACAAGGATCCATATACACAGGATGTCTTCCCATTTATTTAGGTCTTTAGTTTCTTCCTTTAAAAAAACGAAAAGATTTTATTTATTTGACACAGAGTGAGACAGCACAAGCAGGGGGAGCGGCAGGCAGAGGGAAAGGGAGAAGCAGGCTTCCTGAGGAACTGGGAGCCAGATGAGGGGCTCGATCCCAGGACCCTGGGATCATGACCTGAGCCGAAGGGAGGCGCTTAACCAACAGAGCCACCCAGGCGCCCCCTTTATAATTTCTTTTCACAAGGTTTTATAGTTTTTGGTGTACAAGTCTTTCACCTCCTTGGTTAAATTTATTTCCTAGGTTGGTTGGTTGGTTGGTTGGTTTGGATGCTATTGCAAAATGATTTGTTTTTTTAAGTTCCTTTTCAGATTGTTCATTGCTGGTGTATAGAAATAATCCATTTTTGTGTGTTGATGTTATACCTTGCAACTTTGCTGAATGTTTATTAACTGTAATATTCTTATATGTGGATCCTTTGGGACTT